CTAGCATCATTGGTGGTGGAAAATGGGCACTGGTGAAGGGATGGGTACTCGATCATTGTATAACTAAAAAGCAAGCATGAAAGTTTGTAAGTATGTAACTGTACCTCAGGGTGATTCACTAATAAAGAAATAAAAATTTAAAAGAAAGTATTCATAGGATGCAGAAGATAAACAATACTATATTATTTTGGCAAATAGAGGGCTGAAACTTGTTTATGATAATAACCAAGGTACCAGGTATCACTGTATCACTGTCATCCTGTTGTTCATCGATTTACTTGAGCAAGCGCCAGTAACGTCTCTATTTGTCTCAGCCCTGAGATTTTAGCAGCCTCTCCTTACTTGTCTTTAACAACGATTGGAGGCTCTTTCAGGGTCAGGGGAATGAGACATGTTATAGTTACTGGTTTTGGCATGTCAAATACGCCACGGGTAGTTTGCCAGGCTCTGCCTATGTGGGCAGGATACTTTCATAGCTTGCCGGGCTCTCCGAGAGGCATATATATATATTTCTCTATGATTTGTTGCCTACTGTCTGAACTCCATCAAATATGGTGTGGTAGTTATGGAAAATGGGTAGGAAGTGTCTTATGATGCGTCGGAAAGCATGGCGATGGTTGGGTAGTGGAGGTTGGCTGCCGGGGCTGGGTCCCTTGGGGTGGGGAGGGCTCTTGCCCACTCCTCTCTGGGTCACCTGGAGTGAAAACAGCCTGGCGTGGAGTCCGGTAACATATAAGAAGGTAAATTATTGGGGGCCAGAGCAATGGTACAGTGGGTAGGGAATGTGCCTTGCTCACGGCTGACCTGGGCTTGATCCTTGGCACCCCATATGGTTCCCCGAGCACTGCCAGGAGTGATTCCTGTGTACAGTCAGGAGTAAACCCTGAGCACTGCCTGGTATGGCCCAAAAGAATAACCAACAAAAAAAGTAAATTCATAGAACTAAGGTAAGCTAAAAGAGTACATTTTAACTGAAACTTAATAACCTTGTAACGGCTAAAAGTGGGAACCCCCTGGAACCCCAAGTTCTACTCTTAGTACATGCCCTTCGGCAGGTTTCTCAGCCTCTCTACAATGCTGCTTCCTCGTCTGTAAAATAAGGCATTGGCAATTACTTCCTCTTTTATAGAGTTTTATAGGGATCAAGGCTGCATGTAATAATGATCAGCATATTGCCTGGCATCCAGGAAATGATGGATATCAGTTTCAGAGAGACTTTCCTTCTCTCGAGTTGTTCAACCAACTCTCATTATCTGTCTGATCTGGGAACCAAATGTACGTGAAACGATAACTGGGACCTATTTGCCACCACCAGAATTTAATCACTGTCCATCCTGCTATCCACCTCAGGACAGTAGATGGGCAGGGTCAACTGCATTGGGTGAGAACCAAAGCTGAACTGCAAGGATAAGACCACTACAGGTTTTTCAGTCTCCACTGTCAATTTTCCTTATGTCAATCCATATTTTCTCTCTGATATTTAGACTAAAGAGCCAATTCTCTCTCTTTGGGGAACTCAGGGATGGTTTGAACCACACCCACTGGTACTCAGGACTTACTCATGGTCCTGTGTTCAGGGATCACTCCTGGTCATGTTTACGGGACTATATGCAGTACCAGGGATCAAACCAGGTAAGTGACACGCAAGGCAAGAGTCTTCAGTCCCTGCCCCCATCATCTCTCCAGTTCCAAGAGGCATTGCTTTAATGAATTCAAATTATACCCCAAAAAGGATAAACAAATAAAGCAAAAATCACCAGAAATCACACCTCCAGACCCACACAATTTCATAAGTGTGATTACACAGGACTTGCTGTTTCCTGCCTGTTTCCATACTCGGTCTCTTTCTTCCACATTCTGTAGAGACCCACGTGTTCATACTTGATGGGGCTCTAACCTTAACCCCTGGATTTCATTCACACCCAGAGTGTTAGTAAAAACAGTCATCCAAAGAGGTTATTAACAGCCACCTTCACAATAATCGCTTAGCTCAAAAAAAACACTGAAAGGGAATTTTAAACAAATGAAAATCAGAGGCGTTTGGGTCTTTCTTAGGAAAATCTTGGTGGTCTGGGCTGAGAGTGTGCTGGGTGGCACACACCCCAGTCCCTCAATGGCTATTAGTTGTGGAATGTGAAGCTCAGGGAACTGGACTTTTAATAACACGAAACCTTGCCTGCAAACCTCAAACCATTTTCAGGGCTTGAGACTCATTCTATCTAGATCACAGCTCCTTCAGGCTTGGCATAAAAAGCTATTTCTGGTGCTAACCAAAACAGAAAGATATGGGCTTGGACTTGGTCTTGCTTTCCCCTGCCAGGCTTGGGGTTCGCTCCAGAGGCCGCAACGTGTGTGAGGCCTTATCCTCCAATGCCACCATGGCCACCAAGCTAGGCCGCATCCCTCCAGCCAGGTCTGGAGTCTTAGATAACCAAGGTGCCCCTTTCAGGGGACACTCTAAGGACCATTTTTTCTGGAAGCCTGACCTCATCATTTCTGGAATTCATTTCCCTCTTGCCAGAAGTAATAAGCATGGATGAAGAGATATTAACACACCAGGACTGCTTTATCCACTGTCATGCTCTCTTGCTGATGGCTACTGCTCAGCCAGGCAAGAGTCTCTGATCCAGGCCTAGATACTGACGACACGCTGAGAGTGAAATCATCTGTCCTGCAGAAACTTCCACTGGTTTAAAGAGGTGACCTTCACCATTTTCAAAATGGGGAGTGTCTGAGTAACAAATTTACTCTGATAGTTGGTCTAATGGGATCTTCCAGGACCTCATCATTTGGGCTGGGGGAGGAGAGGTAGGGAGGGAGGGTATCACAAGGAGCGTTACCTGGGTGGGCGGCAGAGGGAGTTATTCAAGATCAGAGTGCAGGTTAGGAAGGATGCAGAGTCAGAGCAAGGCCAGCAGGGGCCAGAGGAGAAGGAATCCAGGAAACATGGCATCCAAGCACCAAAACTCCTTGCAAAGGAACAGCAGGACAATCACCCCCGGGAGAAGCAAGTGCCCTGGACCGTAGAAGGGGAGTTTCCAAGCTGGTCACCAAGAATCAGTTTGAGGGAGTAAGATTATATAAGTAAGCAAAATAATCTTTTTGTCTATATATATATAAACAATATAAATAATTTAGTTATTTATATTAAGTAATATATATAATCCCATCATTGGCCCAGATCCAGAGACTATAAAACAAAGCTCCCAGAAGTGCGTGGCCACATTCGTGGCTGCATGACCTTTTATAGTCTAGGCCACTGGTGTACCTAAAGCAGCACACATGTGTTTTGTTTTAAAATGCTTGTTTGTATTCTCTCATACATTCTCCATCCCTCTCTGAGAGCCTGGCAAGAGTATCCCACCTGCACGGCAGAAACTGGCAAGTCCCCCATGGCATATTTGATATGACAAAAACAGTAACGATAATGGGTCTCATTCCCCTGACCCTGAAAGAGCCCCAATATGGCATTGTAAGGAAAGACGAGTAAGGAGAGGCTGCTAAGCTCTCAGGACTGGGACAAATGGAGATGTTACTGGCGCCTGCTCAAGCAAATCGATGAACCATGGGATGACAGTGATACAATGACACATTATATAAATAACTATATTTGCTCGAGGTAAAGGTAAAGGCCCTCCCGTTGATCGTCGATTTGCTCGAGCGGGCCCAGTAACGTCTCCATTGGAGACTTTGTTGTTACTGTGTTTGGCATATCGAATACTCTCGGTAGCTTGCCGGGCTCTCCGAGAGGGACGGAGGAATCGAACTCGGGTCGGCCATGTTGGCCGTGTGTAAGACGAACGCCCTACCGCTGTGCTATCGCTCCAGCCCAAATAACTATATTAAATTAATATAATTAATTAGTCCTGTCCTGTCCTCCCATTGTTCATTGATTTGCTTGAGTGGGCACCAGTAATGTCTCCATTGTGAGACTTGTTGTTACTGTTTTTAGCATATTGAATATGTCACGGGTAGCTTGCCAGGTTTTGCTGTGTGGGCGGAAAACTCTTGGTAGCTTGCCAGGCTCTCCGAGAGGGGCAGAGGTATCAAACCGGGTCGGCCACATGCAAGGCATATGCCTTACCCGCTATGCTATCGCTCCGGCCCAACATAATTAGTATATTATATTATATTAAAAGTTTAGTATATTATATTAAAAGTTATATTAAGTATATCTCTCCCAGTTCTGAATGGCTCTACCGCCTGTGTCATGTGTGGGGAGCAGAGGAAAGACAGCGAGTCACAGGCCTGCCCAGAGTGGGAAGGAGTCAACAGTGCAAACAGAAGGAGCTCTACAGTCAACCTCGGGCTCCATGCATGCAGGAAACTCCTGCGAGCACAATAACCCGGGCTCCCTCTGTATGTGAGTTCTCTTCATACCTCTCCTCATGGATAAATAAATATATAAATAAATAATGTATAGATAAGTGAGAGAGTGGTTCTGCATCTTTGGATTAGGGTAAATCCTAGATAACCAAACCTGGAGCCAAAGCAACATCTCAGCATACCACTGATGAAAGCAGTTGGTAGGGACCAGAGAAAGCCCCCCTCCTCTCATCCTTGCAGAGCAGATGGTGTAGCAAGTGTTCACTTGACCCCCGAGTTAGGAGAGAATGAGCTTAATGGAGAAGGTATCTGTGGACTATTCTGCTCCCCCACTCACACCCAATTTCCTTCCCTAGAAGAAGAACCTGATGTCCACATACTTTCTTTTTTTCCCCCACTTTTTGGGTCACACCTGGCGATGCACAGGGGTTACTCTTTGTTCTGTACTCAGGAATTACTCCTGGTGGTGCTCGAGATACCATATGGGATGCTGGGAATTGAACCCAGGTCAGCTGCGTGCAAGGCAAACGCCCTACCAACTGTGCTATCACTCCAACCCGCACAGCTACATTTTCATGTGTACATTTCACCATCATGAACATTGGGTTAGACATAGGGAAGCTATGAGTGCTATGAAAAGGGACACGGATTTATACCCAGGGCAAAGACCTTACCTTACTAGGAGGCGGCCCATGGTCATCCAAGTAGGTGGAATTTCCTAGTAGGAAAAAAGAAGAAAAGAAGTCAATACATCCATAGTCCTTTTTGGGTTTGTTTTGGTTTGCTTTTGGTGTTGGTTTTTGGCCCATACCTAGCGAGGCTCAGGATTTAACTCCTGGCTCTGTGCTTAAGGACCACCCCTAGCAGTGCTCAGGAGCCCATACACAGTGCTGGGGATTGAACTGGAGTCAGCCTGGTGCCAGGCTAGCACTTTACCTCTGTACTCTCTCTCTCTGGCCCCTTGAATCAAAAGTTACAAAATCACTGTGAATTTAGCACCAGGTCATTGAAAAGAAACAGTCTAGATATACCGTCACTCAGACAACCAAGAAAAAACGGGGAATGAATCATCAAGGTAGTGGGATTTTGTAGAGAGCACCACACCATTTGAGCAGAAGGGAGCGTAACATGACGTTCTCCATAGCCTTGCCACCGAACCCCATGCCAGGCTGTTTCACTCGGGGCACCCCAGAGGGGGGCAGGTGAGAGCCCTCCCTGTCCCAAGGGACTCAGCCCCGGCAGCTGAAAACCTCCAGAACCCAACTGCCACCATGGTCAAGGCCGCTCTGCACACGTGTGGGGCCGAGCCTCACGCACATATAAACCTATTCCTGGATGCGTTTGTGGCCCTGAAACACATCATAGGACACACCCTAACTATTCTACAAAAGTACCACACCACATTTGATGGGATTCAAATAATAGGCAACCAATATAGAGGGAAATACACACACACACACACACACACATATACAGCACAGTAGGTAGGGTGTTTGTCTTGCACGCAGCAGACCCATGTTTGATTCCTCTGTCTATCTCAGAGAGCCTGGCAAGCTACCAAGAGTATCCCGCCCACACGACAGAGCCTGGCAAGCTCCCCATGGAGTATTCGATATGCCAAAAACAGTAACAACAAGTCTCACAATGGAGATGTTACTGGTGCCTGCTCGAGCAAATCGATGAACAATGGGACGACAGTGCTGCAGTGGTAGAGATACATATGCGAAAGCTCACGAGGCTCAACTTTTAATAACATGTTAGTGATATATTATAGAAGGCCTAATGGCCCTTGCCAAAATAGAACAATCTTCACACTCTTTCCTCTATGGATACTTTTTTTGGTAGCATTTTCAGCGGTTCTTCATAACAAACAATACAAAATATATTATTTTGGTTCTGCTTTGGGACAGGGATTGGGGTTTGGGATGGAAACATCCCAAATATGTTGGTGGGAAGGCGTAATGGTGGTGGAATTGGTGTTTGAATATTAAAGGTAATCAAGTATTATGAACTACCTTATAAAATGTAGTAGCACTGTCCTCCCATTGTTCATCGATTTGCTCGAGCAGGTCCAGTAACGTCTCCATTGTGAGACTTGTTGTTACTGTGTTTGGCATATTGAATACATCACAGGAAGCTTGCCAGGCTTTGCCGTGTGGGTGAGATACTCTTGGCAGCTTGCCAGGCTCTCCAAGAGGGGCAGAGGAATCATACTCGGGTTAACGGGGTTGGTCTCAGGCAAGGCAAACGCTCTATCCACTGTGCTATAGCTCCAGCCCTTATAAAATAAAAAATTTTTTTAAATAGTTTTAGCCTTTTCAGTAGATCTGAGTGTTGGGGTAAAATCTCAAATAATAATGGTGGGTCTGGTGTCAAAATATTGAATGTGATCAAAGTAGAGAGTAATGTGGAAATCATCTGCCCCACAGGTAGGGGGAGGGTGTGGGATGGGGGTGTACTGGGGTTGTTGGGGATGGAGAATGGGCACTGGTGAAGGTATGGGTGTTTCATTGTATGACTGAGACTTAGACCCGAAAGCTTTGTAACCGCTCTCATGTTGATTCAATAAATAAAATTATAAAAAATGAAAAAAAAAGTAAGGTGGAGTTTATGCACAATTTAATCAGCTAATCAGTGGCTGAATAAATAGCAGTACTCCTACATTGGACTGGAGCGATAGCACAGCGGTAGGGCGTTTGCCTTACAAGTGACCAACATGGCCGACCCGAGTTCGATTCCTCGTCCCCTCTTGGAGAGCGCGGCAAGCTACCAAGAGTATCTCGCCCGCACAGCAGAGCCTGACAAGCTACCCGTGACATATTTAATATGCCAAATACAGTAACAACAAGTCTTACGAAGGAGATGTTACTGGGCCCACTCGAGCAAATCGATGAACAACGGGAGGACTGTGACCGTGACTCCTACATTTAAAAAAATAGTTTTAGCAGAGAGAGCCCTCGTAGTTCCTTGATCATAAAGTGGCCACCTTCCAGACATTTGATCCCCAGCCTCATCCCACACTGCTGAGTGCAATCCCTTCCCCACCACTGGGTGTAATTTCTGGTACAACCACATTTGCCACCCCAGGCTTGAGACCCTGGCACCATAGCATCAGAGGGCCCCCAATGGCCCCTTTGAAAAATCATTTTAGCAATTTCATTCTGTGATTGAGAGTAAATGCTCAGTCACACACTCCCAGAAACTCATGTTCACTCTCCCTCACCAGATATGTGCTGCCTCTACTTTCAAACAGTGGCACCCACAACTTGCTCCAACACCAAAAAAAAAAAAAATCAGTAGTTGCTGCTAACATTCAGACCCCACAATGCCGCCCAGGATCTAGATCAGTGACTCTGAGAATCTGCATTTATCCCGAGCTCCTGAGTGACAGCAATGTGGCCAACCCAGGACCTCAGTTTGAGAACCCCTGCCTGCTGTTTCTCCAGCTCGTTTCTCTTGTCAGCTTCCTGCATCATTTATTTCTGAAACCTAATGTGTCTTCACTAACAGCCACTTAGTGGCATGTGTATTTGCAGACAAACAATGATTCCAACTTAAAAAGGGAACTCTGGGCTACTGGGTTCCTTTATATAGTAGATACTCTGCTCAGTGCTTTAAGGTCTTACTGCATTTAATTCCAATATCAGAGGTGGGTAAGAATGATCCCCATAGACATAGAAAGATTGCATTCATCTGGGGAACGTAAAGTAACAAAATAGGAGACTAACACCCAAGAATGGCTGAGATTAGTACCAGGAATTTCACTCCATGGCTTGGAGGCCAACGACACATGCTAGGGGAAAAGGGAGCTCAGATAGAGAAGGGACAACCAAGTAAAGGGTGTTGGGAGGATCCTCCTAGGATCTGAGATGCATGCTGAAAGTAGACTATAGACCAAACACGATTGCCACTCAATACCTCTTTTGCAAACCACAGCACCCAAAAGGAGAGAGAGAACAAAAGGGAATACCCTGACACAGAGGCGAGGTGGGATGGGGGGGATAGGGGTGGGTGGAAGGGAAGGGATACTGGGATCATTGGTGGTAGAGAATGGGCACTGGTGGAGGAATGGATACTCTATCATTGTATAACTGAAACCCAAGCACAAAAATTTGTAAGTCTACAACTGTATCTCATGGTGTTTTACTAATAAAAATTTAAAAAATAAATAAATAAATAAAAACAGTAACAACTAGTCACATACAATTTTGGAACATTTCCTAAAATAATCTTTCTCAAAACCAATTGTATAGAGTTGCAGTTTTAATAAAAATTTTAAATAATTTAAAATTTGATTCCCAGCATTACGTGTGGACCACAAAGCAACATCAGGAGTAACTTTGGTGTGACTTAAGAACAAAATAAAAATAAAACTACTTGAAAAGACTGACTTCTAAAGCTGAAACTAATAAACTCACATGTTCAAATTTTTTAAAATTTCCTGAGTAAATAAAGCACAAAAACAAAGAAAAAAAAAAAAGAATGATCCCCAGTTATACAGGAGCAAATAGAAGCTGAGAAAGTCCAGTACTCTGCTCAGTCACATGCAAACCACAGAGGAGAGGAAAGTGGCTTTTTCAGAGAACAGGGTGTCAACACATCTCTGAAAGTTGGTCTAGAGTCTTCCATCTCCTGGTTTTGTGCTGCCCGGGCTATGTCAATGACACCATCTGCCACATCGCATAGGAGAGGGAGTCAATAGGGGCGGATCCCCTCCAAGGGAGGAGTGTTTGTCAGTTGGGTGCAGGAAGGAATCATCTCACAAGAAGTGAAGATGAGAGGCTGGAATGATAGTATAGTGAGTAGGACATTTGTCTTGCACACGGCTGACCCGGGTTCAATATCCAGGATCCCATATGGTCCCTCTAGCACCGCCAGGAGTAATTCCTGAGTGCAGAGCCAGGAATAACCCCTAAGTATCACTAGGTGTGACCCAAAAAGCAAAAAGTTAAAAAAAGAAGTGAAGATGAGAGGACTTCTCAGCCAAAGAAAAGAAAGAAAACATTGGAGCTAGAACACTCTTTGGGGAGGACAGTAGCCAAGGATCCAGGGCCAGGTCTTCGATGGATCTGATGAAAGAAGCTTTTTTCAAGAGTGAGCAGAAGGAACTGGACTAAAAGGGAGGAGGCAGAGCTGAAATCACCCACAGTTCAAGTGGAGGCACGTGTCCAATCATAACACGTATGTGGGTCTGACTTACAGGCTTTTCCATCCTGAGTCATCGTCCACCCTCTTTTCCTGCTCGTCTTCTGGGTGGTCACCCACTCTTGATGTCCACAGTGACGGGACTCCTATGGGATACCTGTATTTGGCCAAGGAACCAAGGGGTCCAGTTCTCAGCGTAAGAACCCCAACCTAAACTCCCGGCAGGCTCGCGATTGGGCTATTTTAAGGAACCTTCTAGGTGTAACATGATGAACAATGTTAGACCTAATTACAGGCTGCAGTTGCTGGGAACATACCTAAATATGAAGTGCAACCTAGAGCTGAGTAAAGAAGGAGGAGGTACATAAGTGCACAGAAATATCTGGAATGAGCCCACCCTAAGAGAGTTGATACCCCTGCTGTATGCTCATCATACGAATGTGTCCCACCCAGGAGGGAGGAGGGAAACCACAACAGTAGAGAGCATGTTCTCCAGGTGTCAACCTCGAGGACCAGAGACACTGGAAATAATGATGTGTTTCTATAATATTACTAAATGTTTCCAAAAGTCAA